GCATTCTCTATTTGGTAGGGAAGGAAGGTTGAGGACAAAGTAAAACATTCCAACTCTACAATTCCAGAGAATAACTCTGGGATCCAGGAAGGGGGGGGGAAGGAGGGAGGGAGGAAAGGAAAGAGGGAAGGAAGGGAGGAAGAAGTTTTGGGATAGTGACAATGCCACCAGAAATGGCTGGAAGTTACCGAATATAAGGGAAAAAGAAAGAACAGGGTTGGTATGTGGGGAAAAAAAGAGAAAATGCAAAAAAAAAAAAAAAAAAAAGAAATATCTCTTCTTGGACATGACTGTGCCTTTATTGGAGGCGTGATTTGGCAGACAGCAACATTAATAACTAGGCAGAGTGAGTTTCACATTTTAACACTATGGGGGTGAGAAATAGTTTGAAAGGAACTCTGAGATAGCTGTAGATAAAAATAGAGTTTTTATTAGGGGACTTAGACCACCATATATTTGGGTTGTCAGGCTAATTCATTAGCTTTGCTAATTTGCATTTCTGTGAATTCCAAATGTGTCAAAAAGATCAGAGATACCTACAGTAAAATTTGAAATTAATCTGCACATTTACCTCCAGTTACGTATGCTGGCAGAATACATCACTTGGAAATTTGAACAAAATGCTGAGTATTGGGAGGGGGACAGTACAGACTAAATTCCAACATTATGTTTCAGTGTAGGCATCATGTATTCCTGTCACCTTCCACTTGTGACATCTGCACATTATATCCTGGATAGTTAAATGCTCATTAGAAACTTTCCAATCTAGTTATCTGAATTCTTTTTCAAGTAGTGTATAATGTCTTCCTCCAGTCTTAAGAGGTTGGATGAGAAATAATATATTGAAACAAAATCTGGATGTCAGATATACTTATTGTAGGAAGTCACAATTGCAGGAATGTTATCACATTCTCCCGGAAGGACTGGGTATATTAGGGACAGTTCTGAATCCAAATGGTTATCTTGCTTTCCAGTTTGAAGCAACAACTCTGAATTCTTCTAGTTCAGCGGTTCTCAACCTGTGGGTCACGACCCCATTTGGGGTTGAACGACCATTTCACAGGGGTCGCCAAACAACGTGATCCGCCATTTTTTTTCTCAGCTGGCGGCACCGCACATGTGCGCCGTGCCGCGCATTCACGCCGCGCACGGGGCGCCGCATGGGGCAGCACCACGCATGCACACCACACGTGCGCACTGCACATGCAGGTGCATGCCGCGCATGGGGCGGCCCCGCGCATGCGTGTCACGTATGGGGGCACCGCCGCGCATGCGCGCCACATCCTTATGACTGGGGTCGCCGGTATAAAAAGGTTGAGAACCACTGTTCTAGTTGGTATTGCAACTCTGCCATTTCCTGTAGTATAGTAACTTTAAAAATGGTGCATATATTACTGGGTTTGCTGTACCACATTCTATTGGCAGAGGGTGAGATAGGGGTTGCTGATAGAGGTCTAGCTAAGCAATTTGTTTCAGGAACCAGAGAGACCAGTTTGACATTGTTTGTTGCCAGTTTATTTTTAAAGGAAATGTATATGTGCTGGCTATTTCCATTACACTTTATTTAGTTTTGGTTCTGGTTATTTGAGATAACACCTTTTTCTATACGATGGTCTCTTCCTTCCATCCTCTCTTCCTGCTCCTTAGTATAATCATTTAAGAAAGCTGGCTTACAGATATCTTAGGGATGGTATTATGGCTACCTGAATGAGGCCATTAATGCAATTGGCATCTCTCTTGTAATTTGAACAGCATTTGGTGATACCATTAACAAGCCTTGAACCACACTTTTAAAACGGATGTTTTTCTTTGTGTTAATAGTTTTTAATATTTTCTTTTCAGATTTCTGGTTTTAATTTTGGTTTCAGTGTTTTTATTGTAAATCACTGAGATAACTTTGAAGTTACTGTAATTATGGGTATATAATGTGTTTACTAAAACAGCAATGTACCTTGCAAGCAGCTTACTAAAATGACATAAAAATGATGGTAGAGGACAGGAAGACCTGGAGGAACATTGTCCATGGGGTCGCGATGGGTCGGACACGACTTCGCAATTAACAACAACAACAACAAATACCAGCTTAGTCAGTTTTCTATAATTACTTTGTAGAAGTTTCTAACTACATTTCTGATTATTTATTTATTTATATTTCATATTTCCAGACTGCCCATCACCTTCAAGGAGGGGTTTTAATTGTCCTCTGATCTCCTAGTCACATGGATGGGAAATTATGGGAATATCATTCTAACATAAACTTTCAATGGTGTATAAATGCATTCTAACATACAGTATATAGTTATTTATTTATTTATTTATCAAATTTATACAGCCATTCATCTCACCCAAGGAGACTATGGGTAGTACACAATGGATAAAACAGCTCAGATCTGGCATTATAACCAGGTCTTTTCAAAGAAATCTTGATGGGGCCAATCTAATTTCAGGAGGAAGGAGGTTCCATAATGCAGACATCACAGCAAAAAAAGGTATGTCTTCTGGGACTCATCAGATGTAGGTTCCTAGCCAGTGGTGGGATTCAAATATGTGAACAACCGGTTCTCTGTATGGGTGTTGCTTCTGGAAGTCCATTCTGGCCCTGGGTGACAAAAAATTAGCTACTGGTTCTGCCGAACTGGTGCGAACCGGCTCAATCCCACCACTGTTCCTAGTCAAAGGAACCCATGGCAAGCTCTAATGGGATGGACTGATATAACCAGGGAGAGATGGTCCCTCAGTCAGGTCCCATGCCATGAAAGACTTTAAAGGTTAAAACTAGCACTTGAATTGGACTCAGAAACAAACTGGCAACCAATGTAGCTTGTGGAGCAGAAAGTATAACATGATGCTCTAGGAGCACACATAATTGTCTGCATCACTGCATTCTGTACCAGCTGAAGCTTCCAAATATTCTTCAAGGGGAGACCCATGTAGAGAGCATTGCAGTAATCCAATCTGGAGGTGACTAGGACTCAAACAATGTTTGATTATTTACTGAAATCAATCAATGAAATCAAGTTTCAAACTGTGTTCTTTAGAGTCTTAGAGTTCCGCATGAATTTGATGGGATCTGGGAGACACTAAGGATAAAAGAAAAATGCACTCAAATGCATCAATTTCTGTCACTAGAGTTTTTCTTCTTGATCATGTATTCTAAGATTTTTTAAAATTGATTCCACAAACTGAAAAAGTTTCAAAATTCCTCTGCAAATGTAGTTGATATTTGACCCTTTCTTTACGGAAATTACATGTATGGTTATATGTTTATTGATTTGGACATCAGCACATGTTCAGAATTCATTGTAGAAATAATGTTGTAAGATGATCTGGGTTTCCTGTTCAAATGCTGTTAGGCAGCTCCTCTTTGCCACGTCTCTTTGCTTTTTTGCTTTCTCTGTCCTACTTTCATGTTCTTTTTTGAGTGTTATTCTCAGTTTTAAAAGATACAGTTAAGTCACAGTATTTTATGATTTAAGAATTTTTTGCTGTCTGCCAAGATTAGCTGGCTTTGGAATACCCTCCCCAGAGAGGTAAACTTGGCACCAACCTATTCTCTTTTTAGTAACAAGAAAGGTCATTTTTATTCTCCCAGAGTTTTGCCGCTGTGATTTTTTTTAACTTTCCACTGTTATTATCTCTTTATTGCCTTTTAGTCCTCATTTTTATGCATCTTTTATATAATTGCAATGTACATTTTACCTGATGTAAATTAATGCTTTAATTGTTGATTTTTATTCTAAGCCATTTAAAAAAAATAAATAAATGGTTATTCCTTATTTTAATAAAGAAATTAACTGAATTTGGAGAAGCTGATTAATGAAGCAAAATGTTCCATCTCCAATATGATAGATTACTAAGAAAATCTGAAAATTATCTGAGATTTCTTTCCTAAAAATGGTGTGGAGGAATGATTAAAATACACACTAAATTTTGCCAGGTGTGTGTGTGCATGCATGTGTGTGTGTGTGTGTGTGTGTGTGTGTAGTACATCTACATCAGACTATTCAGTGAGGGGACAATTTCCAGATATTTTTGATGCCCTTATTATACCATATTATTATACAAATTAGAATTTTATCCCAATTGTACATGTACAGTATGTACATATACATGTTTGTGTGCATGTATATATGCACATTAATTATGGATGCTGACTCACTACTCAATACTGCATGGAATTGCATGTAATTCTTGAGCTAAAAAGGCTGCTTTCCATTAGATTAGAAGGTGAAAAGTGAAATAAAACTAAATTTCTCTATGTAGAGATTACATTTCAGCCCAAACCTCCAGGTCACATCTTACAATACTTTTATGTGAATCATAAAAACCCTGGAAGGGATGACATCAAAGTAATTAATGCAAATAAGACATTTGAAGCATTTCTAAGTGATTTTGGCAGGTAGCACTGACAGCCAGAAGGCTGTCTCTATTGACAGGCACTGGAAACCAGTTTGAGATCCAGCAAAATCAAGCAATATAGAACTCATATATTACTTGTGTAAATCATCCATAGGCAATGAAGACAAAGTGGACTGGATCTAAATAGTAATCAAGCATAACACTCTAAGTTATTGGCTTAATCATGGGCTGCTAATTGGCTGAGTTCACACTTCAACTACTTAAACAAACCATTATTTACAAACCAAAATGGAGAGGTTCACAATCAATACACAAAATGACAGTATGCTTTGTTTTTGGCTAGGTATGTGAGTGAATCTGGCAATTCATTATATGGTGCCTAAAACCAATATTGTTGAGTTTTTGTTGAGAAATGGCTAGCTAATTTATTTCATAGCTCCTCTTGTATTTTGTTTTCTTTACCCTCTCAGGCTTCTGTCTGCCCTGAAGGAAATTAAGATCCTTGCCTAACTCATCCGTCAGATTTCCCCCCCCCCCACACCATCGCCGCCCACTTCCACCGGTACCCGCTGGTGGACTGACGTATCACAGTGCAATAAGCTTTATCAACAGGTGACTAACAATCCATATAAAGACTGGTCCGCGAAGCTGAGCTTCATTTCAGAACCATGGAGAGCTCTCGCTTCTTCGCCCTGCTAGGAGCCGCTTTATTGTTGCTTGCGGGAGTCCGCAGTCAGGAAGAAGGCGAACTTCAACCGCGAGCTTTGGATCTCTATTCCACCATGGAGGAAACGTCCCACGAAAAGGAGCTGGTATGTTTTCCAGCAAGAAAGCGTCTGAATGGGCGGGTGGGGCTATAAGTGATCTCGGGAGTGTCCTTTACTATTTTCCGATGTTACTAAACTGCCTAGCCATTGAGTCCTCATGTTTTGCTTCAGATATCATGAGACGCAGCTTTTGGAAAACTTAAAGGCATTCTTAGGAGGGTGATATGCTGAATAGGAAGAAAAAGTTGGAGTCAAACAGAAGCTTGAAAAGTAACTTAAATGAGAGAATCAGGTCTACAACCTTAGTGTCCACCGTTCCCAATTGCCTGTGAGAGGCTGGTCTAACTTTCTCTTAGGTTGTCAAGTGCTTTGCCTCCCACTCTGTTTTCAGCCTCCTCAGGCTGCTTGATCTATTACTAATAGGATAGTTTATGTGTCTGCAGATTGAAGCACTGCAGGAAGTCCTGGAGAAGCTGAAAAGCAAACGGCTCCCACATTATGAGAAGAAGTATGGTCAAGTTCCCATGGTGAGTGTTTTCTGATTCCAAGTCAGAAAAATTATTTTTAAAACAGCAAGAATTAGATTCATAGGGAGTTGACTCTGATTGAGAAAAGAACTTTTCTCTGGAAAATCGCCAATAAAAATGAAACTTTTTCACCCCATTGTCTTTATTAATCCCCAAATTATCAACATAAGGCTTGCATGTTCTGTCTTCCCTCATGTCAAACCTTTGGTGTCCTACTTGAAAAAACTGAAATAACACTTTACAAATGCTCTATTCCCTTCTTTCCCTTTCTAATATTCTAAAGCTGCAAATATTTATTCTGTTTTTTGGGATTAAATCCCATGCACTGGATTGTATTGTAAATATGTCTACTTGAAGGAATGTCAGTGCAGCTTAATCAGTTCCAAACATGATGATATTTATGCTTTACATTTATTTGAGAGGAAGTTTGTTTAAATGAAATAACACCTATTTCTAGTAGACACACTTAGATTTCTGCACTTAGATTATTAGTATTCTTTGCATATATTATAGGCTATTACTTAAATTGAAATGCTTCTGAGACTAAAATTGAAAAGAATCTGAATGAAATACTTGTCATTCATTTACAGAAAGAATTAGATTCCTTTTCACCAACTATTTTTTTCTAATTAAATATTAGTATAAGGTTGAAAAGGAAAATAAACCTTATTATCAGTGGAGTTGAGGGTTTTGGTGTCTACTATTTTGAATTTTTGGTGTCTCCTATTTTGAATTTTTGGCAAAGAAACTATATCTAGGTTAAAAAGAAAATTGATGACATCCAACCATGGTTATAATATATTTTTTAAAAAAATCAATATTTCTAGACATATTGTTTCTGGACTTTTTTGTGAAGTCTAGAGAACAGATATTTTAAGCGATTTTTATAAAAATTTCAGTGATGATACAGAAAGTCAAATGAAATCTTTTCTCTAATTAATTCATCTGAACTGTTACAATACAGAAATAGTTGAATATTAACTTTAGTCCTTAAAATCAGGTGTGAAAATGCAAACCTCACATGTAAACTTTGTATTTTTGCAGAAAATTTTCATTTATGATATTTTTTCCCTCTGGTCCAATGCAGTTTCTCTCTTGATCTAATTATTGGTTGCTGTCAATAACAGTGTGATGCAGGAGAGCAGTGTGCAGTGAGAAAAGGTGCCAGGATTGGAAAACTCTGTGACTGTCCCAGAGGAACATCTTGCAATACTTTTCTCTTGAAGTGCTTGTAAAGTAAAGTCCCTCCCGCAACCTCTGGAGAGAACAGAAAAGCATCAGCTGCCTTGTCTGAAGAATTAATTTTGAGTTATGGATGCAGGTGTGTGGGGTGGAGAATGCTCTGTATTCATCACATACTAAGAAGTGGGTGATGGGAGGGACACAGCTGTAAGGGTGATGTGAACTATTGCTTTTAGGATTTCTTCTAGCCATTTCTTTTTACTGTTAGTTTCCTTATTTGTTCCTGTCCTATTTTTTCCCATATGTGTACATCAGTGTTCAAAGAATGAATTGATATTTTCAAAAACCTTATTTTTGAATGTAAATGCTATCCATGAAAACTGTCTCTAGAAAATTCATTTATTTATTTTCCCTCAAATACAAATACAAGAATACAAATACAATAAGAAATTAGAGAACAAATTGAAAAGTTAAATCAAATTAACAGTAGGTAGGAATGATTCAAAGAGTCAAACATTTAAAAAATATACACAAATATCCCTTTCACAACAGGTATGGGTGGATATATCAATTGTAGGTAAACAGTAGCACTATTTCAAAAACATTCTACTAAACCAGTGTTTCCCAAACTTGACAATTTTAAGGCATGTGGACTTCAACGTTGCTGGCTGTGGAATTCTGGGAGTTGAAGTCCTCATGCCTTAAAATTGTCAAGTTTGGGAAACACTGTACTACACAATTCTTTCTTCTCAGTTTGGTAGTAACTTCAACCCAATACCTCCAGCTTTCTCAGGCAATCATATTTTTGAAATAAATAGCAGAGGAAGTGACTTAGATCTTGTCTCCTGGGGTCTTTTGAGACTAAGACAGAAAGAAAAGCTAGGAATATTTTTCCTTGACAAAATATGTAATGGAATTCCTGATGTTTCTTTCAGAAAGAGAAGCATAATATGCAATTAATAATTGTAATTCAAATATATGTCAAATAATGACACCCTGACCAAGTCATCAGCACATGTCTGCTTCCTGATGACTAAGAAGAAAGGTATGAGAGAAGTCTTTATTGATATTATACTTGTCTGATTAGTATACGTATTGAAGGATATTGCAAATACCTACTTCAAATTCAAATTTATGAATGTTCGTCATCAGTTTTGTCCATTAATAGACCTTGAACATTGCCATATAGCATTGTTTGAGGACCAGTGCACATATCAGTGCTTCCAAGCAGCATTATTGTTATATTAATTTCTATGTTGAGTCTTTGTCAGGATTGAGAAGAATTTGGCTTAGCATCAGAAACTCCAAAAACACAAGAAATGAAAGCATTAAGAAATCTTTGAGGAGGCCAAGAACTGCCATTTTCTAATGTTACAAAAAAAATGAAGAAATAAAAAACACTTTCAATTTTGAGATATTACTTCCATAATCTGATATTGAAGAAAAATATAAACCTATGCCATGTATATGCTTTTTCTTTTGAGACAATAACCATTTATTTATGTATACAATTCAACTCTGTTATAAAGGTTTTAAGAAACCTGAAGCAGATTTACATCAGTACGTTTTTACAATATGCATATATCAAACAATGTGAATGGATATTTATAAAGGAAAGATTCTAAATCTGTTAGTTCTATAACAATATATCCGTCAAACGTGCAAATATTTTTCAGTAATGTCCTATTGTCTTTTACTAAACTATTTGATCATTAATAAAATTATTGTTACAAGGTCCATTTCAATGTAGTATTTTGTTTTTATTTTTTTGACTATCTCCAGATCTTTTGGGATAAATATGTTTAAGCTTCTTGACTGAAGTGATTCTTTTTTTATCAGCACTAATGTATGCATGAATGGACATGTGAATTGTGATGTTAAAACTGGGACAAGGCATTCATCTGTCTAGGTAGAAGACAGGGTATAAATAAAAAGAATAAATACTTGTGGCAGTTGGGCAAGTTAGATATTTAGAGTGTTTCTGATACATTACTTTGGATGTACTTTGTCAAAAATAAATAAATATTACCATAGAACCACAAAGTTGGTATGAGCCATTTTGGCAATCAAATCCAATCTCATATTTTATGCAGAAATTATTAAAGCATCTATAATGAATGGTTGACTAGCCTCTTTTTTAACATATTGATTTAAAAAGCTATCCTTTCAATCTCCCAAAACAATATTCTTTTTTTAAAAAAGGGGAGCATGGGGACAAGAAAGATGGATATTAGCTCCAAAATATTGGTAGCTATGTGTCCTTGAGATAGATGATTCTCTTTGAATTAAAGGCATCCTTGTGCGACTTGTGGGATTGAAGGGGTGCAGGCCTATATGTTGTATGAAATTCCAAGAATTCCAGAAGCATGTAGTCAACTTTAGGCAATTTGCAGTACTGAAGGTTGATTATGGAGATAATGTGAACCAATTGTGCATGTGTGAATTAGATTTGATTTTAGCGCAAAGGGCAGGCTTTTACAAGCTATTTTGCCTTGGCATCAAATCATAATATCTTTTCAAATCACAGTTATATTGTATTCCATTATATTAGTCAAAATATGTTCTAATTTTGTACTCATTATCACTGGGAGAACTTGAAAGCTTCACTTCCAAGAAGCCTAATATCCATTTTAAAAAGAGTTTTGAGGTTGGATATAAACATGAATTTAAAGAGTGATAGACAGGTATTTTTAGATATTGTTTTATACTGATTTGCATCAGTAAGTGCTTAGTATTCATTTTTAAAAACCATTAAAATGATATTTTTCTTATGAACTCACCTATTAATTGGGATCAGAATGGTATCTCCTTTGCTGTAATAAGGAAGTTTCAGTTATCGGGTAAGTGACTGAGCATGCAGATGGTTCTCATTATCTATACAAGCACAGGACAAATCATAGAAGTATAATCCCAATGCTCATGAATCATAAAGATTAAGCAGCTTTTGAACTAATTCTAATATTTCAAAATTCTTACAAATGGGAGCTTATGGATTATCTCTAATGTTAAATGAATATATTTATGCAAGATAATTTTTTTTTCTCTTTCTCTCATACCCTATTCTTCATGAGTCTCAAATCTGTCTCTGAGAATTCCATAACTTTCCAGATCAGATGTTATACAGTAATGAATCTTTTTGGATGTTAGAATACCATTCATTCACAGATATTATTGGAACTAATCTACTGCTTAAAGAAAATTAACTGGCAGACCTGAGGCCACCTTGTCTAAGAAGCCACACATGAGTTTCTTTTGCATACATGACATGTTTTCTGAGTTTACATTACACTGAGTTTCTGTTCTGTAGTATAATTGAACAATTGTACTTAATAAAGAAAAAAGTTTGCCCTTTACATTGTGCTTATTCTCTCTTATGCAAAAATACTAAATGATAAAATTATGAACAATAAATAGGCAACTAATGTTTTATTTGTCTTCATGTATAAAGTTACACAAAGATAGACAAATCAAGCCATTAATTTCAATGTGAACGAAAGGTGAATTAGTACGAGTTAAACCAAATCGAAGTCTGTGTTGCAAGGAATGCATTTACGGTACTGAAAAGTGACACAAACAAACAATTCTTGCCTGAAGCACCTCGGCTTACATCCATTTTCTTGGTGGTTTTCATTTACAGTAAGTTGGCCATCATATACATGAAGCCATGTACTTTCTTGAATAAATCTGATGTTCTCAATAATATATCTTAGGATATGAGTTAGGAAGAGGTGCTTTTCATTTATAATTGACCAATTAATTAACTCATTAAACATTACCAGAAGATGAATTAAATTTATGAATTAGGTTGCAAATTAGGAAGCTGGAATAAAATTTATATGGAAGAAATATATATCTATATGAAATAGTCATCTGAAAAGTATTTGAATGCAAGCATTTTCACCCCACTCTCTAATTTCTTGACAGGATTGATTTAAACCCTCTGCAAGTTTATATTCTTTCTTTTTCAGGAAAAACACTATGTGTCACTCAACAAAATGACTTAGACTGTGATGAGACATAATTGGATGACTTAAGCCTTTTATTGTTAATTCAGTCTAGGATGTGCAAGCGTCTTGAGTCAGCAGTCTAACAGATAACAACATTCTCTATCAGCAGGTGTGATAATAGTATCTTGCATTTATGTGTATTTAGATGCTGAAAAGATAAGCATTCTTTCAATAAAATGTCTATGAAAAGTTAACTGGGGTAGCTTAAAGTATCATTGTATTTTCAAAAATATCCAGGAATATACAATTCTGAAGACTTAAGCCAACAATTAAGCATTGTGGTTCAGAATGGGATAACTTGCTGCAGCCAATTTGCCATGGCCAACATACCAGGGACAACTTGTTGCAGGACAATTCAGCAATTTAATTTAATTATTTTAATTTAATTTTTGTCATTCACATTTCATTTTGTCCCTCCTTTTGCATTCTTTCTTTAGTGTTTCTGTTCCACTGTTTCTTTGACATTATGTAACTTTTGTCCCTCGGCAAGTTGTCCTGCGGCCAGTTCGCTGTGGTAAATTGGCAAATGGATTGTGGTGAGTTGGAGCCAGCAGGTGCAAGATGAAGAGGCACTTTATTTTCTTCTCCCCAAAATATTTTGGGTTTTGCATAACTGGTCTGCTCTTCTGCTACTCCTCGGTTATGGAGTACTTTCCTGCTTCTACCATCTATCTTGGAAGAAGGGAAATGTTTTGTTTGACTTCTTCCCATTTAACACTGGCTTATGTGACTGATAGACATCTCACAGCCTGAGTACTTACTTGTCTGTAAACTTAGCATAATAGCTGCTAATTATGAAGAAGAGAAGGAACTCTGTACCATCACGTCCTGATTCTAATAGTTTTAGTGATGCCTGACTATTAAAAAGCATTCCTGTGGTTCAAAGATAAAAAGCTATATTTTTCAAATGAAATGTATAAAAAATAAGAAAATGTTAAAAATAAAATTTCCTCTTAGCCTTAGATACTCAGGCGTCAAGACATTTAGTGCTGATATAAAAACACAGACTGCATAGAAAACATAAATATTCCATAGAGTGGTGGAAGGGAGAAGTAAGATTGTTAAAGCAGACCATGATTAAATTTGGCTTCCTCTTCTTTGGAAGCACTCTGATGCAATGAGGTTCCATGTTGCATAACAATGTAATATAAATTGTTATGCAGAAAGAACATTAATTCTAATATAAACCTTGCAGTAATTTTTGCAAGGTTTACATTAGAATTAATGTTCTTTCTGCTTGACATGGTTCCCATTCCAGTCTCTCTCCCTCTTCTCCAGAGACCCACCTTTGCCTTCCCTAGAGATCCCTCTAGCCAGGATTTCCTTCAGACCTCCTTCCTATAAATCTTTTGCCATTCTCTAGACCAAATCTTTTTCATTGGGTGTGACTGGCTATTGGAGGAATCTCTTTGGAGTTTGTTTGAACAAGATTTTGTTGTTTTTACTTTTTCCAAAATGACTAATTTGGTTTCTCTCTAGTCGAAAAGAGGGAGCTTTGGAGCATTCTGTTTATATGTGGATATCTAAAGTCTTTATTATCAACTTTCCTGCTTGTTGGTCTGGCACCTGAAATTTATGGATTGGGAAGTCTGTCAATTGGCATACTAGGGTCTTGCTGATGTCAATAAAACTTATGCATGATATATAGATACAGATACATATACAGATATGCTTTATACTAAGCATATATATTTGCCTAATGGTTATAAAAGGATATCATTTATTTGCTTTGTCAGAATTAACTAGACAAATATTGTTGGATCCATAATTTACCGGTAGTAGAAAACATAGGATTCATTAACACTTATTTCATAAGATGTGGACAACAATATCTATGTATTAAATGATGAATCTTTTAAGGCAATGTCTGAAATATTGTGCTCAAGTTCAGTTTTCAAAAAGTGGAATCAAGAATAAAACAGGTTAGATCAAAACTCTGCTTGCCAATGCAATAAACTTAATACAATACATATGCTAATTGATGCAGTTCTTCCCCCCCTCACATCTAAGATATGAAAACAGGCATCTTGAGATAGATCAGATAGTTCAGCAAACTGTCACCACTATAAGAAGCTGAGAAACTGGATATGAAGGCCATAACAATCTTCCATTGTTGTAGCCCACTAACTTTTTTTTAATTGAAATTTTTATAAACTTTTGACAATAAAATATCTCCCCCCTCCCTCCCCCCATAACCCTCCCCCCTCCTTCCCAGAGCTGAATACAGGGTTAAAAAAAAAACAAGAAAAAAACATATAGATTAAATAAACGTCAATCAACTATACATACATCCAAAAAGATTAAAAATGCTTTAACTCCAATATATTAAAAACAACAAATCTAACCATAATTACTTTAAACAGTAAATTATTCAAAAGCTAAATAATACTTTCTAATCCCATATTTATTCTGTACAAAATTTACCCATCTTTTCCACACAGAATTATATCTCTCTTGTGAATGGTCTTTCAGATAAGCTGAAATTTTAGCCATTTCTGATAAATAAGAAACTTTAAGAAACCATTCCTCTAAAGTAGGCAAGGAATCTTTCTTCCAATATTGCCCAATCAATAACCTTGCCGCATTGTGGTAGCCCACTAACTTTTATCAGATGTGTACTGCTTCTGATTTTGAAAGTAGTCTATCACCAACATAAATAAACCTTTGAGGTTTATTCCCATGTGTGCATATATGATTTTAAAAAGTAACTTAAATTGGTAAGCCATTATACA